CCTTCCCCTTCCCCTTCCCCTTCCCATCTCCATCCCCTTCGCATCCCCATCTCCATCCCTTCCCATCTCCATCCCCATCCCTTCCTGAGACAGTTTCCACCCCCCTGTCCAGCTCATCCCGGCCGTATTTGTTGACCCCTCCATCCTCTCCCTCCCCACCCAGGTCCCAATTAATGGATTCTGACATGGATTATGAGAGGCCAAACGTAGAAACTATCAAGTGCGTCGTGGTCGGGGACAACGCGGTGGGCAAGACCCGGCTCATCTGTGCCCGTGCCTGCAACGCCACGCTGACCCAGTACCAGCTCCTTGCCACCCACGTGCCCACGGTGTGGGCCATCGACCAGTACCGCGTCTGCCAGGAGGTGAGAGGAGCCGGGCGGGGGTGCCAGGGGGGGCTCGGCTCATGGATACCCTATGGGAAGCCCAAGGAGAGATGGAGTATCATCCTCACCGTGGGGAAAGTGTGAATGACTCCTCCATGTGTGGTGGGGACAGCCCAGTTACACAATCACAGAATGATATGGGGTTGGAAGGGACCTCTGGAGATCATCCAGTCCAACCCCCTGCCAAAGCAGGGCTACCCAGAGCAGGTCCCACAGGTTTTGAATGTCTCCAGAGAAGGAGACCCCACCACCTCTCTGGGCAGCCTCTGCCAGGGCTCTGCCACCCTCACAGCAAAGAAGTTCCTCCTCACGATTAGGTGGAACTTCTTACCTTCAAGTTTGTGCCCATTTCCTCTTGTCCTGTCCCTGGGCACCACTGAAAAAAGACCAGCCCCATCCTCCTGACACCCACCCTTTCAGTATTTAGAGGTGTTGATCAGATCCCCCCTCAGCCTTCTCTTCTCCACACTCCAAAGCCCCAAGTCCCTCAGCCTTTCCTCATCAGAGAGATGCTCCAGGCCCCTCCTCATCTCTGGAGCCTCTGCTGTCCCCTCTCCAGCAGTTCCCTGTCCTTGTGGAACTGGGGAGCCCAGAACTGGTCCCAGTACTCCAGTTCAAGGACTCAGGGTGGTGTTTCTGTTCCTGCAGGTGCTGGAGCGCTCCCGGGATGTGGTAGATGATGTTAGTGTGTCCTTGCGCCTCTGGGACACCTTTGGTGACCACCACAAAGACCGACGCTTTGCCTATGGCAGGTAGGGGAGAGGCAGAACCTCCTGCAGGGAAGGGAGGGCAACACCAAAGCACAGCGGGGTTGGCCCCATCCCCAAGGTGGACCTTGACCTTCCTCTCCTCGCAGGTCCGATGTCGTGGTTCTGTGCTTCTCCATCGCTAACCCCAACTCCCTGCACCATGTGAAGACCATGTGGTACCCGGAGATCAAGCACTTCTGTCCCCGTGCGCCCGTCATCCTGGTGGGCTGCCAGCTCGACCTGCGCTACGCCGACCTGGAGGCTGTCAATCGGGCACGGAGACCCTTGGCCAGGTGGGACTCGGGCCCCAATATCCACACCTGCCCAAGGCTTTCATAGAATCACAGAATGGTTTGGGTTGGAAGGGACCTTAAAGACCATCGAGTTCAAACCCTTTCCATGGGCAGGGACACCTCCCACCAGCCCAGGTTGCTCCAAGCCCCCTCCAACCTGCCCTTGAACCCCTCCAGGGATGGGGCAGCCACAGCTTCTTGGGGCAACCTGGCCCAGGCTCTCACTACCTTCACAGCAAAGAAGTTCTTCCCCACATCTCAGCTCCATCTCCCCTCTTTCAGGGTCAAGCCCTTCCCCCTCCTCCTAGGGCTCCCCTCCCTGATTTCTCCTTCCCGTGCGTCTGAAGGTGGCTCTTCATTATCTCCCCTCTTTTTCAGGCCAATCAAACCTAATGAGATCCTTCCCCCGGAGAAGGGGAGGGAGGTAGCCAAGGAGCTGGGGATCCCCTATTACGAGACGAGCGTGGTGGCCCAATTTGGCATCAAGGACGTCTTTGACAATGCCATCCGTGCCGCCCTCATCTCCCGCCGTCACCTGCAGTTCTGGAAGTCCCACCTCCGCAACGTGCAGCGACCCCTACTCCAAGCCCCCTTCCTGCCCCCCAAGCCCCCTCCTCCCATCATCATCGTCCCAGACCCCCCTTCCAACAACGAGGAGCGCCCAGCCCACCTCTTGGAGGACCCCCTGTGCGCCGACGTCATCCTGGTGCTGCAAGAGAAGATCAAAATCTACGCACACAAGATCTACCTCTCCACCTCCTCCTCCAAATTTTACGACCTGTTCCTCATGGACCTGAGCGAGGAGGACCAGCAGAGCACGGCGGGGCACGGCTTCGGGGGGGCCGGCACCGCCGCCGCCCGGAGGATGCTCCACCA